TGTTTTCTTTCTGCAGCGGAATGTGATGTTGACTGAAGGTGGTAGGAGTATTTCCCACAAGAGATGACGGAGGACGTGTTGGGGCCGTTGAGGAGGACGCTGAGGGGTCTGAAGGAGCGGGGAGCAGAGATTGTGCCGGTTTCGTTGGCGAATACAGAGTATGCGCTCAGTGCGTATTATGTGCTTGCGAGTGCAGAGGCGAGCAGTAATTTGGCGAGGTACGATGGTGTAGAGTATGGTGTGTACTCTCTCTTTCTTTCCGTTGAGTGGTGACCGAGTGAGCTGGGCAGGGATGAACGTGCGTCCGCCCAAGGGAACAGACCTGTCGACAATGACGCCGGGGCAGTTGTACTCGTACACGCGTTCGGCAGGGTTCGGTGGGGAAGTCCAACGCAGGATTCTCTTGGGGACGTACGCGCTGAGTGCGGGCAAGTTTGACAACTACTTTTTGCAGGCGCAGAGGGTGCGAGAGCTGGTGCGGGGGGACTTTGAGAGGGTGTTCAGAGGGGTGGACGTGCTGGTGCATGGGTCTGCGGTGCGGACGGCGCCGGAAATGGGGGAAAAGGTTGAGGGCGTGGAGGGGTACGTGCAGGATGTGTTGACGGTGCCGGCGTCGTTGGGTGGGCTGCCGGGGATGAGTGTGCCGGTAAAGGGAGAGTCTGGGTGGCCGGTTGGTGTGAGTGTTGTAGGAGAGTGGGGGAGCGAGGAGATGGTGTTTTTGGTGGGGAGGGCAGTAAATTTGTGTGATTAGCCAGAAGGACGCCACCCGAGCGCTTAGGCACACTGCCACGTGTGATGCGATCAATCTCGATCGTGCGATCGTCAACGGGGTCAGAATTCTTTTTGCCTTTCTCCCTCCAACCACGAGCTGAGCGAGTTGTCTGCCACGTCGTCGTCGCCGTCGTCGTCGCTGTTGCCGTCGTCGTCGCTGTCGTCGTCGCTGTTGCCGCCGTTGTCGCCGTCGTCGCCATGAACGTCGCTGACCTTCTCCAGGACTCGCCGTCTGACGATCACCGCCGTCGCCAGCCCCCAGAGAACCCAGCCCCACCCTCAGCCCCGGCCCCGTCATGGCACCGCCCTCCATATCCCCTGCCATCCGGCCCACCGCCCCCGTTCCCGACCCCGCCCCCTCCTCCTCCCGGTCCGTCGTCCCACCGCCCCCGCCCCCCGGTCCCTCCTATTCCCGCCCCCAACCCAGTCCTCTACCCGCCTCCTCCGCCGCCGCCTTCTGCCGCACCCTCGGCCCCACCCCCTTCCGGCGTTGCGTCCTCGCCGAGCAGCCACCACCGCATGCCGCCCCCCTCGCCCGCAATGGCGTCTCTACGGCCCCTCGACGGCGGTGGCGGTGCACCCGGTGTCTGGGGGCCACCCCCATCCTCGGGTTCTGCCACCAAAGGCTAGCGCCATCTTTTTTTCTTTTTCAATAAGCTGACTCCATGTAGAAACGGACCCAGCTGCCCTCCGCCGTCCTCGCAGCAATACCGATGAGAATATGGACGACAGGCACGTGAGACCCCGTGATATTTTGCACAGAAATCCCAGTCGCACACACACTCCCACATCCGTCCCCCGCGTACCCCCCGTCCCCCCCGTCGGTTCCAATCCTGCTCTCGCAGAGAGGAGCCGCGAACGCGATTGGCCCAGAGAAAGAGACTATCATGACAATCGCCTCTACCCCATCTATGACCGCGATGACCGTAAAAGGTCCACTGACCGCGAACGCAGTAACCTCCAGCTCTCTCAGCCCCACCAGCCCCCTCCGACTCACCTCCACCTTGCACCCCCACACCAGCACATAAAGTCCCAGCCTCCCTATCCTCCCGGTCCACCGTCCACCATGGTCGGTCCTGGTCTGCCCCCCGTCCCCCACCATCCGCCCCCTCCACGCCAGGAGCTCCCCATCCTGTCCCTGGTACCCCCGCATGTCCAGAAGCAGTATGGGACCCAAAAGTTTCATACTCAGTTTGTCAGCACGTCTGGGGGTCCGGGCAGCCGGATTGGCTCGCCTGTGCCGAGGGAGGGGAGAGATCGGGAGCGTGAGAAAGAGAGGGAGAGAGAAAGAGAGCAGAGAGAAAGGGAAAGAGAGAGGGAGAGAGAAAGAGAGAAAGAGAGAGAACAAAGGGAGAGGGAAAGGGAGAGAGAAAGGGAACGAGAGCGTGAACGAGAGCGTGAAAGGGAGAGGGAACGGGAACGGGAACGGGAGCGAGAGCGTGAACGAGAACGAGAGCGAGAGCGAGAAAGGGAAAGGGAAACTCAACGTATCGAGCCGCCTAAACGCCCCACAACCCAAGACGACCTCGAGCGCGAGATGGACCTCTCAGGCCGCGGACAATGGTGGCCCGGCCATCCTCATGGCCTCCCGCCTCCACCCCCGCCTCCACCTCCTCCAATGCACCCAGGCCCCGTCCCAGGTCCAGAGTACGCCAACCCCAACGTCAACCCCAACATGAACATGAACGCGTACGGGTACGACCGGATGGGGTACCCCGCGCCCCCGCCTGAGGGAGAGGTGTATTATGAGGACCGGCCTGGGCCAATGTCGATGCAGGGTGGAGGCCCAGGGTGGGAGTGGAGTGTGCAGCGGGAGAGGGAGAGGGCGAGGAGGGTGGGTGCGGTGGTGGTGTATGAGCAGGGAGGCCCGCCGCCACAACCACCGATGCAGAATATCCCGATGCACATCCCGATCCCGGTCCCCATGGAGAGTTTGAGGGAGGAAGAGCCAAGGGCCAGGGTGTGTGTGCATCTTGGGACCTTTGTATGGCCCCATGTGCCGTTTCCTTATTTCTTTGATATTGGGAGGGGGGAAGCAGAGGAAAGGAAAGACAAGGAGGGGGAGGGGAGAAGAGAGGGAAGGGAGAAGATGGATGTGGATGCGAGTAATGGGGAGGGGAAATTGAAAGTTGGTGGTGGGGGATCGGAGAAGGAGGTGATGGATGTTGGGGAGACGCGACCTTCTACGGCCGACGCCAACGAGAAGGAAAAAGATAAAGTCAAATCTCAATCTGTGCCGTCCCAGAACGCCGATTCTACGGCTACTACCACCGACACCCCAGCAGAAGCACAAGGGTCCTACACCGTCGACACCGAAACGCGTCTCACGATCCTCATTCCAAACGCGCACATCCCGCATTCGCGGCCCCCGCGGCCCCTGCGCATCTGGGGCGGGGGCACACCTGGGCGTCCGCCTCCCTCTTCCTCTCCCGCTGCCTCTTCCTCCTCCTTTGTACGCCGGCGCCGCATCTACACAGACGACTCTGACGTATTCTTGTGCGCTGTGCATGCGGGGTGGGTCACGTGGAGCGGGGCGAGGAGGGCACGCGAGGGCGGGAGGGACGCGAGGGTTGAGGTGAGGATTGTGAGGTGTGTTGGGGCGCAGGGGGAGGGGGAGCCCGAGGGATGTGTGGGGAGGGGGAGGGAGGAGGTTGTAGGGAGGTTTCTGGGGGGGTATGGGTAGAGGTGGGTTGGGAGGGAGAAGGAGGGGGAGGGGGGTGATGGTGATGATGATGATGATGATGATGATGGGAGGGGGCTGGTTAGTGCGGGGTGGGGAGTGGGGCATGATGGGAGTGCGATTGAGATTGTTGGGTTCCAGTTTGTCGAGGTGAGTTGGGGTGTCTTCTTTTTTTTTTTTTTCCTAGGCGACTGACGGATTGAATTTTGGTGTAGAAGGGCAAGTCGACGGCGCTGCGGGGGCTCAAGAGCCGGAAACAACGTTTGGCGGAGTATCATGAACGGCGTGCGCATGTCGTTGGACTACCGTCGCCTGAGCGCGAACGCGACCGACCGACGATATCGCGTGTGGCGGGACGGAAGCGGCGGAGAGGATGGGATTGGCCGATGCATCAACATCAGCATAAACGGCTGCCTAATGCAACCGTGCTGGAAACGATTGTCGAAAGGCCAGAGGTTGATGATGTTAATGGCGCGACGTACCATCACGATCCGGAGGAGGACGCGCAGATGAACGTGCAGACGGTGACGTTTGGGGTTGGACCCGCAGGGGATATCCAGGCTGGGTGCGTAGTTCCAGTATCGTGTCGTGAGCTGAATGCTGATCGGTTCGTCGTAGGTTTAAATTCGATCCTGATGTCCTACGAGACGTGTTGTTCCCGCCGCCCGTATCTTCGTTCGTACATCCTCCACCGCGGAAGAAACGGAAGATCGATCCACGCGCCGTCGATCCGGCCCTCAACATCGACGCTGCGCTTCCGCCTGTCCGGTCGGTCATTCTCGAGACGGCCAAGGAGCGTTATGTGCTCTCGCCGTGTATCGGCACGCTGTTTGTGGAGTATGATGTCTCGTTGGTTTTGGATGTTGAGATTGAGGAGGTGGTCGAGGGGGCTTCGGCGGTGCTGGAGCAGGCGCCGGATATGATGATGGTTCCGCCGAGTGCGGTGCCTGCTACGACGCAAACGACAGTGGCTGTTGCTTTGCCGCTGAAAGAAACGGAGACGCCCGTCGGTCCTGCTTTGTCACGAGGCGAAATTTCTGATGAACAGCCGCACTTGACGACAAGACCTATTCAACCCTCCGCAGACCAAGCTCCTTACGAGAGTAATAACGATACTCTAAACGACACTAACGATTTTCCGCTCTCCTCACCCACCACGGCGCTCCTCGAAGTAGACGTGACCGAGGACAAGCCGAAACAACAGCTGATGCTGCAGACGCTGCAGCGCAATCTCGGGGAGAACATGTTTAGATTCGCAAAGGAGGGCGTGTATGTGACGGATACGATGAGTGAGGAGATGGATGTGAATGCGAGGACTGAGTGGATTGTGCAGGCTCAGAGATGGAAGTGGGGTCCTGAGGGACAGGAGTTGACTTCGAGCGCGAGATGATGAGTAGTGCTTGGGATTTTTTTTTTTTTTTGGTTTGATGCTTAATCGTTATATTTTATTTTTTTTATTGTGTGTCTATAGAGTTACTCATCAAAAGAGAATCAGAAGAGATTTTTTCGTCGGTGTGACCATCTAGTCGTGAGGGATCTGTTGTTACAAGGGCACATGGTGTAGTTGGTTATCACGCCCGCTTAGCATCCCGCTCAAAGGTGTTGGATTAATGCGGGCGGTGCCCGGTTCAATTCCGGGTGTGTCCAATAATGATTACTTGGTCTTATGGACCAGTTTTCTTTTGTCAGAAAAAAGTGAAGAAGGAAATTGTGGCGCAGGACCCGACACCGTTGTGCAGGTTAAGAGATGGAAGTGGGGTCCTGAGAGACAGGAGTTGAGTTCGAGCACGACGTGATGAGGTGCTTGGGATTTTTGGTCTGATGCTTTATTTAATTGAAGTTAAAAAAGAAGTTTTCCACGCAGCCAATGTAAGGACCTGGGGCACGGCGGCGTTAGTTACATTTTTAGTTCATGTAAACCGGGCCTGGGACTGGCTGTATCAGCCCTCCTGTAAAGCCCTGGTATCCCGGTAACACTTTCCGTGTAAGTCCGGACATTGGTTTTTATTGTCTTGAGAGGCCTTCAGTTATCGGAAGAGATTTTTCGTCGGTTTGAGTAGGTATCTGGTCGTGAGAGATACATTGTTTAATGGGCACATGGTGTAGTTGGTTATCACGCCCGCTTAGCATCCTCATTTCTCTCCTTCGATCAATGCGGGCGGTGCCCGGTTCAATTCCGGGTGTGTCCAATAGCGAGGCTACGGCCTTCTCTGGAACTTTTTGCAAAAAAAGCCAAGAAAGGGAAGAGTGTCGCAAAAAGTTGACGCCGGCCGGGTCCATGGCCAACGATAGGGATGCCACGGCGTTCTCTGGAACTTTTTGCAAGAAAAGTCAACAAAGGGAAGTGTGGCGCAACAATCGACGGCCAACTCTATGGCCAACGTGGGGATCGAACCCAAGACCTTCGCGTTATTAGCACGACGCTCTAACCAACTGAGCTAGTCGGCCGACCGTAGACATCTGGCTCATATCACTTGTAAGATGCGTTGATTCGAGGAGGGTTCTCTATTTCCAAGTTCTCGACAGGCAAACTCAATTTTAACAACGGTCAACAACAGACGGGCTTGGGACACGTATGGTTCAGTTACCCTGGATTTCAGCAGACTTTGCATCTATCCTATCGGACGACCAGTGTTACAATTTGTTATCTATATAAGGAACCCTGATACCCAATTTTCATCCACATCTCCAAATCAAAAGTCTTCTGGTCTAGATCTGTATATTCTATGGATGTTGGACAGAAACCTCAAGTTCTCGATTCTTCGTCGCATTTGACCGTATTCCCGCTCGAAAAGATCCTCTCCGTAACTTCTGCCCATGAACGTCCCAACTGAAACTCTCTTTACAGTTGTTAATTCCTTTCTCTTCAGGTGCATTGTGAGAGTGGTGAGTTTTGGCAACAACGACGAAGCTGTAGAGAGCACTATAGAAGGCTAAATGAAATCTGAATTGCGACATTCCGAAGACCATATTCTGAATGCAGATGCACCTTATATGATCCTGCTTCCTCAACTAAAAAGATAAAGGCAATCGATGTTTCCTTTGTAACGGAGCCCACGACCAGCTCGGCATGATAGTAACAGTCAAGTTCATCTTTTTCAGACATTCCCAGACTCGACGCGCGTTCCAACGGGGGATTAGACCCGGAAAGGCTATAACACACCAGGTGAAATTTAGGTATCACATTGACCAGACAGTTAGTCAATACAAAGAGTGTGCCGTCCACTGTTGATAGGCCAAAACTCTTTCAGAGTTAGGTTTCCATTCGTTGTCAATGTTGAAATAAACTTCTCAGAGGTTGTCATGAAACCGACCCCAGTTGACAGGATCTAAGCGTTAAGAAACAGTGATTGTTCTCAGAGAAAACGTGCAACGCCTGCCAAATACAGAGCTTTCAGAAAATGATGCGTGTTTCAGGTATTTCGAAATAGAGGTCCTCGTTGTTAGAAAACATACTGCAAAGTGGCAAGAAAGCTCACCTCTCAAGGCTTCAAGTTGGGTTACCGACAATAATACAGCACCGAGGATATCGAAGAAAGGACCGTCGTCAGGAGGAACGGTCTCGTCAAGAAGCTTCAGGTGGAGCACTCGTGTGTAGCGAGCTTTAGAGGGATGGGCTGTTAGTGATTTCAAGCATTTCTCCATACGTCTTCGAAGACTCTGGCAGCGACAATCTTTGTGATAACAATCGTAATTATTGAACAAGATTGTTCTATAGATGAAGGATTCGGCTGGAGATTAACAGTCCCTACTTGTAAGGGCAAATTCAAGGGAGCGTGCTGACATCACAATATTGAAGTATTTCATGGATGATATCAAACGGAAACCAGGAATGCTGTACGAGGACGAGCACCGATGTGACCAACTGACGTTAGCTATGGGAAGGACGGCACCTGCATCTACCCAATCAAACCGGGGATGCTCTTGAAAGGATCGAGAAAAGTTACTCGGGAGACTTCATCAAACGTTAGTACTTAGCCACTGATGATGTTGCCTGCCAATGGGGAAGGAACGATTTACTGCGCGGCACTAGTTATTCCTTTCGATACTCTATCACTACATACATCATGATTCATAAGTACATGCCAGCAAGCCATAGATAGAACATTACGAGCAAATGACCACCTATTGTCAGGAGGTGGTACCTCTGATGCCGCCCCTTCCTCTTGGACGATAGGTACTTCCAGCACGTCCCCTACCATGTCCTAGAGATCGTGCAACCTGGGTAACTGGAGAATCAATCTCCATTGAAACGCTATGGACCCCCCCATGCTCTCTACCTCTCCCTCTTCCTCGGTAGCTACTCTTATGGTTCTTACGAGAACCTTCGAGACCACCTCGTTCAGAGTTTGAGAGGAATCCCCCTTTGCCCCCTCGTCCGAATCGGATGGATGGCGGTATCAGTGCGAGGGATCCCATGGTATCTATAAGTCCATCAAGGGCTCCATCTGCGTTTGCATGTCCTCCTGTCTTTGTGTGCTCGCCAGCGTGGATATCGCGCTCTAGATGCGAATCAGTATCGCCGTGTCCAGTGTCATCGATGATCTGGTCGTCGATATCGTCCTTGTCGTTGTCTTCATCTTCGGATTCCTCATTGTTCGCCTTTGCTTCTCTGGGCTTCCATTCTCCACGAAGCATACTAGCTCCCTCACCCCATTTTCTCAGAAGGCCACCTATGCCTTTGTTCGTAACTGCAAAAAAGTATTCCCTAGGGTATCCGTGGGCTTGAATCAAATGAAGACGCCGCGTTTTTGGTGTAGAGAAAAGCCTAACACAAGACGCAAGATGGCATGCAAACTAGTAGATATAAAGATAAATCGTTCAGCATGAGATGAGAAACCCAAGACGCGTGTCTACCCACAATCCTTTCTCCTCTGTCTTTCCGGACAGCAGCTAAAGGGTCATGGCATTCCGTCTGATGCTGAAGGAAGCAGAGAGCTGGAGTCAGGGAAGCAGCATAGGTGACTTGCATGGGTACTCACTAGCTCCAACAATCGTACTTCAGGGAAGACAGCGCCACAGCCATGTTGCTCACAGACATGAGCATGATATGTAGCGTAGTGGGCCTCAAGTTCACGAGAATTGGCCAAGGGGCTTGGCTTGTGGTTACATGTTGGAGGAAGAGTGCACAGAAGTGGATGGCTTCCGGCTTGCAATTCAGCCTGCCCTGGGACGGTTCGGGAGGATTTAGTTGGATGTTGTGTCTCTGTCGAAGAAGAAGAATCGTGCGACGATGAGGCGCGATGACGTTTAAAATTCGATGACATGGTGGAATGTCGAGTCAGTTTTCGAAATTCATCAGTGACAAGCGCTACATAATAAGCGCTGGAAGAAGTGTCGCCTTGGTCACGACTCCAGATTTCAAAAATATTATATTTGGCACTGCCAAAACTCGAATCCGTACATATACTCGCAAACTTGAGGAAGTATCTAAAGTACACAACGAAAGAAATCGAAAGCATGTCACTGTCAGTACAAAGCCAATATCGTCACATAGATTAAATGGTCATGAGTCTGGTATTATACCCCGCGGGACCGTTGGATCGCATTGTTTCCGGTGAGGTAGGAGAGGAGAAATGGGAAGGAGAATATTGAGAAGGGGGATATTGAGAAGAGGGATATTGGGAAGGGGAATATTGAGAGGAAGGATATTGCGATATAGGATATTGAGAGGGAGAATACTGAGAGGGAGGAAGATAAGCTTCTTGCCGGTCTTGCATTGCCAAGGGTCCGGGTCCGGTGAGAGGAAGGGTTGGTATGAGCTCTATTACACATTGAGCGACAGCTTGTGATCTTGATGCTCCGGGAGAGGTTTCCGCGTTCACAACAGCGTGCACTTGAGCTTCCTGGACAATGTGATCGCCAGCCGGAGTCGCCATGACACTACTGCTTAGGCCGCGACCGTCCCAGATGCATCGCACATCGTTACCAGGGACGATTTGAACCAAGCGACCAGTAGCAAGATCGCGAATTTCAATGAATCGCGTGTCAAATATCATAAAGTAGGGCGTATGAAGGGCGACACGCTCAGCAGTACCTTCCCATTCAACAGTCCCATTTTGTCGACTAGGCTCTCCATGCTTGTCAACATAAAGACCGAATTCTAATGTGCATGTTGAGTCAATTCTACAATTATAGTTCTTTGGCTTACCATCGTAGCA